GTAAACAATTTGCAATTCAAGATTTTTGTCTGTACAGAACAGATGTGTGAGCACTCATTCGTCAGCTGCTCTGGCATATTGTGAATGAGGGATTTGATCTCACAGTACCAAAAATGAAAAGCCAAGATTGGCATTATTCATCTTGATGCCAAAAATAATTCCATGAAAAATATCAAATTTGGTCCTTCATAACATCTGTAAATAAAAAACAAAGACCCTCACTGAATAACCTACTTTTTTTCTGTGGCACAAGCAGGTTTAATGGAAATTTTTTAAAACTCTCAAATATAAGGCTCAAAACTTTTCTTCAAATTCTGGGCACTCGAATTTGTAGCAAATGTTATTCAAACAGGAATAAACAGTGTATTTGTTGTGTACTGTTTTTCAAGCCTCAATCTCCCTAAACAAACTTCCTTGTAATGACGGGGAGAACTCTTTTTCTTTTTCCAGAACAGGTGTGTATCACTCCCACCAAGTTTGTTTAAATTACAATTTCTTAAGCTACCGCAACTTAAATTTTACCAGTTAGTCCTTTATATGTTATTTATAATTATTCATAAATAACATCCTTAAAACTTAGCAATCATGTTGTAATGAATGCCACTTCAGATCTACTTTGAGTATTATTATCATATGCCATAAAAGACAACAATATGCAAGCAGATTTTGCCACAGACTGAGCTGACTGGCTTCTCTCCTGTATGATTTCACGAGTCTCTTCAGACCTTAGAACTGTGCATGAACTATGCATGAGCTTCTAACTTCTAACTGAAGCTGTGTTGCGAGACAGCTTTCACCTCGACAAAAAATACTGTCACGTTTTAGTATTGTGTGATCTCATGGCGCAAGATCTCTTCAGACCCCTACTGCTGCAAATTCAAACCTTGAGGTAATACAAGCACAGCTAAAGCTAAATTATACCAAAAAATTGCAGTTGGTGAAAAAAAGCGGTAGCTACCATTATTTAGAGGACGAGACACCTACCAGCAACCAGAATGTCCCTGGTTCAAATCCGCTGGGGCCCATTGTTGCATCTCTCTACTTTTATTAGTTAGCAATAGCAAACAACTAATAAAGATTTAAGCCGCAGCCACCTAATCCGTTTCAGTGAGGCTACTGAGGTGGCATTGATGAATGATGCATTCACACATGATGGGCTAGTAAAAAGCTGAACCTGGCAATGCTGCATTGTATTTTTCAGTGCATTTTTCCTTCTGAACACCCAGTACAGACAGTCTAAAAAACTAATAAAAGAGATGGAATGCACTTGTCTTTAATGAACTTGTATAATGCATCCACAGCTATTTCCCCACATGCTCACGCCACACTGCTACACAGATTAAATGTCTGTATTTCGTTGTGCCTGAGGCACCAGCTGACAGTAGAGCTTGGCTACTGAGAGGTTTAAAATAAATAAATAAAGAACTAATCTCTGTGGCCTCCTGATGAGCTGCCAGCCAATGCAAACTCTGGACAGGATTTATATTCTAGCCGCCTTGGCATCTGGATTACTGCTTTGAATGGTTTATTTATGTAAATCACATATAATTTTGTGTAGTTTCAACAGAAAAAAACATTTTTTTTAAAAAGTATATCTAGAAATATTTAATAGCAGATATTGTAAAGTGTCGGGTGTGTTTTTCTCCCACTTAAGAACTAATATTATGAATGTGAACTGCATCAAACCGGAAGGCTGGGGCTTTTGTTAAAAAGGCTCAGATTTTAATGATGAGTGATTCTCTCTTCAGGCCATTTCCTTTGTCACTGTGTGTTTTCACTATTTAATGAAATTTGAGAACAATCTTTTCTTATTTTTCCAGAGGTAGAGCAAATGAAGCTGGAGTTGTTTAGTCATCTAAATGCTTTTACATAAGCAGTTTGACTGACAGAGAGGAATAAGGATCAGTGTGTGCATGTTCCATCCACAAGTATAATCTGGATTACCAGCGAACATGACAATGGAGAAGAGAGGGAAGCTGAAAAATCTCTGTGTGGGTTACATGTTGGAGTCAATATTAGCAAAAAAGACAGCAGGACTAAGTGCTTTACCTTTGCCTCTCCTTATTTCTTTTATTCAGATTAATTTAGTATCTTGCTCAAGGGATGTAAATAATAGAAACTCAATTTAGCCGCTTCAGTTTCAGGGTACTGTTGGTGCTTACTGTTCACTGTCATGGCTTACTGGGACTGAATAAAACTGATTCATTGTTAATATTTTAGTAACAAAATGTCTGTTGTCAAATTAACATATCACAGATGTATTATTTCTTAAATTATAAATGTACTTAGTAAAATTCCTCTAAGGAGAGATGGGGTTGTGGTGGGGAAATTTGTACAGTAGTATTTCAAAAGTCCTGGCTATGGGCCTAACTGCAACTACTAACATAAAAAAAACAAATGTTTTTTGGAGTAAATACCAGTGAGGGTTGGCTAAATAACTGAAACATCTTACTGTAGGCTATAATGCAAGTCAGTACAACAGCAAAACAAAACATAAAAAGGTTTCACTTGAATACCAGTCATAATTCCAATTATCTTTAAATCAGCACATTTAAAGAATATCCAAATTATTTTTTGGATGTCTCCAACTAAGATATGACTAGTCAGTTCAAGTGTAGATATCTGACCCTGGAGTTATGACTAGTCAAAATGTAACTGCAGATATCTTATAGTTTTGACTAGTCAAATACATTGCAGATATCTTAAATGTAAATTCTGTCCACCCACTTAATGTTAAAATCTCTTGCGTACCAGTAACTAACAATTTCCATATTGAAAATAACGGAGAGGGGAAGGGTGCAGTATTTCCGTGATAATCACTTTAACAAAGGCACTTTACTAAATCTTACTTTAAAAAGTAGGCTACTTTAAACATTCGGACTTCTTTCTGACACATATGGAAAGTCAATTTGGATTCTAAAAATTGTGGCTCCTAACCGACAAAAACACACCAGTATCTTAAACAATATCTTGTACATAACAGCACAACGCCAACACCCCTTGTGCCTCATGCATGTTAAACACAAAGCAGACACACCAACATTAACAGTGAGGCCTCAACACAGCGAAGGTCACGTTTGACGTTCAGTATTTGACTATCAAATAAAAGCGAAAATAAAACACTGCTGTCATAAGGAGAGTGATGGAAATGCAGTTTGTAAGTTAAACAGCCAAGATAAAACTCAAGACGTCTGTAGATTGTGGTACAATGCCCGGAAATGGCAATGAGCGCAACGAAACAGGGTGAAAACATGTCGACGTTCAGGTCGGACAGTTCTGGACATACTTACCAGGTGAAACTCCGTCTGTTTCCGGTTTTTTATGTGACCACAGCACAAAAATCCGAAAAGTAGAGGTGCGTTCGAAGTAGACAGAGGAGGTCGAAGGTCTTAACGTGATAAAATTTTGACGAGTTGAGATTTTGATTTCACTAGGTCCAAGAAATCGATTTCCTGCTTCTCGCAGGTATGTGGGCGTGGTTTAGATACTGCAGGTGTGTTGTCTGCAGGGCTGTAACCTGACTGTAGTTTCATATGTGACGTCCCAGTGGGTGCGGAAGGTGTCCTTCTCCTGACTTACCCATCCTATAACCTAAATGACACGATGATTCAGTTTACTGTACACAACTAAAACAAACGGACTTCATAAGCTGACTAGAAAAAGTAAATTAAGGCGTGTGAATGTTTTGCTTTAGTAAATTCAGCACAGTAACTATTTCACTTTATGCTGGTGGGAAATGATGGGCTGCTGTCCATTTGTGGAAAGTTAATTGCTATAGTAGCTGTAGCTATAATTGATAGGTATCTTTAGTATTTTCTGAGTATTTTCATTTTCCACTACATCATACTTTGACTTAGCTAAATTTCAGAGGCATAGGCCTTTATTGTACTTTTTACTTCACATTTATTTGACAACTTTAGTTACTAGTCGCTTTTAGGAATCGGGCTAATAAAACAAAATATAGTATAATTATAAGACTTTATTGACCCCTGGTGGGAAACTCACAAATTACCCAGCAGTAATTCATTTAAGAATATAATATTAACTCCAGCTTTACCAGCTGCAGCATCAAATGTGATGTACACAATAATGCATCAATAATTATAAATCAATAATATGATATACATTGATGTTAAATGTGCCATTCTGCATGAGTACCTTTACTTTTGGGGTTTTAATTATATTTTGATGCCAACACATTTGTACTGTACTTGTAACATTTTTTTTACACTGTGCTACTGCAACTTTTACTCAGTAAACAATCTGAGTAGGTTACATCTTTCACTTCTGCTTCCATTACTGCTGATGTCCCCTATCTATTATTAAGCCCAGTACTTAACAAATGAAAAATGTTAAAGTTCAAATTGGTGTCTTTCAAATATGGAGGACCACACAAAGCACATGTGCATGAATATAATCACACACTTCACCTCACGCGTGAAATATTGTCACATGTGCTGATATCAATTTATTACACATGAAACATCTTAAAACATATCTCTTTATTTTTCACAGATTATGTAGTGTCCCATGTGTGAAACATGCTAAATGTTTGACAAAAGCTTAACTCAAGGTTAAACCAACTTCTCAAGAAAGTGTTCTTCAGTATAGTAGTGGACAGAGCCAACATGCAGAAATATCTTTATTATGACTATCATTGCACTGCCCCCCTGTGTCTAAATAGATAATGACAGTTGATGTCTGAGTCATGGTTGTTATCTCCAATGACAAGAGTCTATCTTAATGGGCTCAGTAACAGGAGACAACAAAAACCACTATTCCTAAGAACCTCTTTTTTCACTCATTAGGCACTTATTTTATAATAAAACTGCATTAAGCCTGTTCATGTTACATATTTTTGTTTGTTTTCCTGTAGTTTAATGTATTGTAGAAACCTAATGAACCTGTGAAATGTTAAATATGCACTTAGGTGAAATATAGTAATCATTGTAATATCTAAGAGAGACTACAAGGGCCATTGTAAGAACATTAAATATTAATTTATTTCAAAAATATTGGTCCAAAGTATTGCTGTAATACAGTTGAAGGTCTACAAGTCACATCAAAGCTTTGATTTTTAAACTTTTTAAGGCATGTGGAGAAAGAAGGCAGTCATCAGTCAATTATTTACCTGCAGGATTCACAACAGTTTACAATGAGCACAGCTTTTGTTCAATCACAGTTAACACAAAAATGTACATTCTCGTGGAGGAATGAGAGAAGAATACTTTACATGAAAATATGAGATAAAACAGTATATTGTTGTAATAATTATGAAGAAAATGATGCCGTTCTCTAACATACAAGACTACAATAGCAGTTGTTTCTGTAATGGTGGCAGCAGATTTGCATGTATGAATGAAAAAATTCACAGAGGACAGAGGTTAAATTAATGTGACATATTGTATGCAATTATATTTGACTGTCTTAAAGAATGAAGTGGCATTTTTCCCCATTTAGAAACATGTATAAATTCACAATTTAAAAATAACAGCAAGACTTTTTTTTTCCTGTAACATCAAATAACAGCAGTTAATTTCCTCAGGGATCCAGCCTCTGAGAATCTAAAACAAAATGAGACATTCAAGAGGATAGGACATTCGTAAACTAAACTAAATATTTTTTGCTAGTACTATTGTGAAATTAGCAGCAGAGTGTATAGAATAAAAGGAGAGAAAAAAGTTTCATAGTGTCACAGTGGTTCAGTGATTCATACACACACACACACACACACACACGACATTGTTTTTGCTTGTTAGTTGACCGATTCCACATCTGTTACTGATGGGATTTCTATTAAAGAATCAGTGATTTGGCACGTAAAGTTTGACTCAAAAAGAGAAGTCACAGAGGCACAAGGTTGAAACTGACACAAATAAAGGTTGAAACTGTTGTAACTGCCTTTACACTGGTGTCTCAGCACCACGGGACTGGAAGGTCAAAAGGTGAGAAGTACAAGTGGTGGCAGAGGAACCATCACTCATTTCTTCTCACTAGAAAAGAAAGAAACAAAAAAATGGCTCATATTAACAGCTGAACCTATTAAGACTTGAACTTTTACAGTCTGTGAGGAGAGGAGTTTGTTTACAAGTCTTTGTACAGGGACCCACTGTCTCATCATCCATCTACAATTCCACAGTATTATTTTCTTTGATACTCAGATTTGTGTTCTGGAAAGCTCAAGATTTGTGTGTTGTTAATGCTGACCAGTTTCCAAAACATTTTGTACTGCATTTCCCCTCTTCAACAGCAATTCAAAGAAAATATGCCACACAACAAAGAATGTAATGTTCAAGCACAAGCTATATGTGGCATGTTCACCATGTCACATATAGCTTATACAGTATACAAGTTAACATCAGACTACTTGACGGTTGTAGTTTGGCTTGTGATCCAGCAAAATCAGCTTGACCTGTTGCATGTTCTGTTGAGCTGATTTTCACAACCAATGGCTGGATAGATAGAAGAAAGCAAATACTTAAAACACTGAAAAATAGTTAGCAGTAATGTAAGGTGTAGAATTTGGGTAAACCATGCAAAACATTTCTATGATTCTTTAAATAAAGCGTGTAATCAAGGCATAAAGATCACCACAGTTCTCAAAGGCATACTTTAAGTTTACATGAAGGTTAAAAACAACTGAGAACATGCAAGTCATCTGTCACCAACCCGTTAATATAAGTATTAGGACAAATGGATGCTGGCAGATAAGTTGAAAGATTTTCAACAGTTTCTGAAAACCATTACCTTGTGTCAGGATTTCAGATTAGACCAATTTGTGATCTGGGTAGAACAGTTTAATGTGGGTTGAAGACCAGCTTCATACAAGCCTGAGTTTTGGTGTTATGCAAGAGAATCACTGCAGAAAGGGGAATTCATGGAGGTTTCTCAGACTGACACAAGCATAAGGAGTGAGGGGGAGTCGGGGTACTGGACTCAGCTGAGTTATACACTATGGAGATCACAGGATGACAGCAGGGCCTCTAGGACCCAAGAGCCAACACCATCAAAGAAGACCAAGAATACAACATGCTGGCAAAGGGGCAAGGGAGAAACAGGAAGATACAAGCATGTAATGGATAGGTTTAGACATACAGTAGGTCAGATTTGTTATGTTGTTCCTGTGTTTCATTCATTCAACATGTTGAAATTTAATGCTGAAGCTAAACTGAGTTACCATAAAGACCCCTGCACCTTTTCATTGTCACCTGCAGAAACAGTGTCTTGTCCACAAGAGAAGATTAAAAATTGACAATAGTTTATGGATGTCATTTGTTGCTTACAGTTTGTGGATGCTTGGGCACAAATGACTGATCAACTCCAGCTGAGTCGCCTGGGTGAGACTGTGTGACACTGAAAATGCAGAGATCCCAAGTGACCCTTGCGTTCACTGTGAATAATGTTTCCACATACATTGCTGTAACAACAAATTAGGGCCACTGAAAACTACCAGATAAAGAGTTGTCATGAATAATAATTTTACAGTTAAAAAAAATGCTGTGTTGAGAATAAGCTAGCCATCTAAGATTTGGTAAGACCCTTCCAATAAATACTTCATTACCAGCAGGTTTAAGGACATACCACACACCAGACAAATAATTAGGATGTAAACTATATCTGATGGTTTGAAGTAGCCTGATATGTGCTTTGACCTACAGTATCTAAGATACAGAGAACAGTGAGCTTTTGACCTTTTTCTCAAAATATTAGTTTTGTTCTCAAAATCTCTGAATTGTTTTCCCTGACTGTGACTCCTACAAACTGTCGTTCATGAATGGATTACTGAATGGGCCTACTAGGAACAGGTCTAGGGTCCAACGTGTGATGGGCCCCCTAGATTTGAGAAGGGACTGTTAACCTTTCTGTTAGAAAGTCAGTCAAATAACTACAAAATGACCAGAAAAGCCACAAAATTAGGTGAAATAAATTGATACACATGGACTAAAAAGAGACAGAAAAGCCAGAAAAATGACTACAAAATACACCAAATGGCAAGAAGAGACACAAAACACCTAAAAAGAGGTTCAAAGCAAGTAAAAATAGGTGCATGGTGACTACAAAGAGATGCAAAACAAGTAAAAATTAACATAAAATGACTTAGAATGGCTGCAAATCAACCACAAGAAGACAGAGACTGCAACTTCTGTGGCAGATCAATCTGTGAGTCTTGCTTTTAGAAGGGTAGGAGAGCAGGGGCCTTCTGTGCCTAGGGGCCATTGTCCATCCATCTCTATCAGCTCTATCCACAAATTATATCAGATGATCAGCATACAAAAACAAGTTATAGTTAAATGCTAGAATATTTTTTGTGGGCACAGAGAGTTCCTGGAGTCTTATCATGAATTCCTTTATTTTTAGACAAAGATTCTGGAAGTCTCGCGTCCAGTCTTTGTGCTATGATAAACTATATAGAGAGAACAGAAGTAGTTATCTATATACATGTACTTACTTCTGTTCCCTCAGCCTATATTGTTTACTTGCCCTTTGCTATTGCCGTACATAAGGATATGTACATACATATTGAGAGGCACTGTACCAGAGTCAAATTCCTCGTGTGTCCAACACACCTGGCCAATAAATCTGATTCTGATTGGATGCTGGATGTACAGTAGCTTCACATTAATGAGAGCTGGACTGATCTTATACAACTCTATGCAATAAGGATAAGCCTATTTCCCAGGATACATGAACATATGATGCTGAGTTAAATCAATTCATTATGGAAATGTTAAATTATTACTTGACAAGCTATAAGTCTACATTTAGATTTACCTGCACTCTAGCAAATGCTATTTAATAATTAATTACATTTCACTGTCATTTTAGCATTAGCAAAATATATATAAAACTGCTAAAGTCAACTGGGTTCTATTTATTATAACAAACATTTTCTTACAGCTGAGAGCCAGACAAAGATTAGGAGGCCAAAAGGTACTGAGTGATGGACTGACCAAGTACTGGTTTTGGTGTTGTTATGGTATTTGTTAGCATTAAAATAAATATAGAGTAAGTGAAAATGTTTGGCATGCAATTGTATAGAATAAAATATGCCATACCAAGTAGACGTCCAGTTCAGAATACGATTGGCTCCTCCTGAGGCACGGCAGAGGATCGTCCAGAGCGACTGTTGAACTAGAGGCTCGTCGGTCTTCACTGCACCACAAATGAAAACCTTGTGAACATGTCAGTGCTACGAGCATGCTAACTTTATGCTTTTTATTGTAACTCCACTTTTGATTATTTATGATTTCTCTCAAGATTGACATTTACACATAGCTTCAACAAAGCAGGCAGTTTTTTAATGCTTTCCAAAATTTATTTTTGCAACTTCTGTGGTTAAGGTGTGGTATAATTTAAATAGCTAAAACAAGGGTGACTGTTCGTAGGTCCAGTTTCAAAGTTATATGTTCTATATGTCCACACAGAACAACACAGTTTCCTTCTTTGCTATCAGAGACCAGTTATCGTTCACACCAATACAAACTTAGGTCATATAGGTTTGCACATACAACTTGTTGTCTTTCTTCTGGTGAGTCTTTAGACATCTTGATGCTGATTCAAGTGAGAAGCCAAACTTCATTTTCACAATAAGATTGCTTGTTAAAAATTCTACAAAAAGAAAAAAATGGAGCCCTTGCACATGCTTAGATTCCCCTAAATAGTTTTATTTACACAACAACTATTGGAAGAATTGCCATAAAATTTTTGAATTTTTGTAAATGTTGTGAAAGAGCACGAATCTTGAGTTTAGTGATCCCCTGAATTTTTATCAGTAACCTTTATAAGGTTGACATTTGTGCTTTTCTGGTCACATTCACATCAGCCTCAGCTATATGCTGTGGTCACTACTAATTAGAAAATGTTAGCATGCTATCTTGCTAAATTCTGACTAACAACTGCATGTTAGAATTATTGGGAATGTGTTAGCAAGCTGATGTTAGTGTTTAGCTCAAACCACCCCTGAGCTGCCAACATGGTTGTAAACTGTAGAAAAAATAGAAGTAACTATCCTATATATGCCATAAAACACATAACTAGAAAACTAACCAATTTGTTTCTCTCTTTATATGATCACTGCTTAGGTCAGTACTTGGCATCTCCCTTTTTGTGGATGTGAAGTGGTCAAACAATTGTATAAATTCCTAGAATGTTCAGAGGGCTGCTGCACACATACAGTACCTGCTTTCAAGATCCTCTTCATCATTCTTGGTAGACTCAAATGAAACAGTAGATCTCAGAAGAAGATCTGGCCGTTTAGAGGAATTGTGAACTGTTGCAACAAGCAGCTAATTAATCAGTGACTTAAATACAAAAGCAATGAAGCAAAGCTTCTTTTAAAGAAGCACAAACTGTTTCCTAAAATGCCAGGTTACATATAATACTCTAGGCTCACAGTTTCCATCCAGGTTGTCCATGCTTTGGGCCTTCTTCTCCTCTTTCTTGTCCTCCTTTTGAGGGGACAGAAACTCCTGAGAGGCTGACTTTGGTGCACAAAGGGAATTCCTCTTCTTCTTTGAAGATGCTCCTCTTAAAGCTGAAACACACAAAGAATGAGCATATTAAAATTAAACACCAACACTATATGTATGTAGATTACAGAATACAGGAGTTGTTAGCAAAATTACGTACGATGAAGCCTTTTGAATACAACTGAGCTCATGAATTTCAGAAATCTGTCCGCATAAAAACTAGGCCTGTGAACCGACACTGTGTCCTGAAAAATAAAAGAAATGGTCTGACATATACACACACACACACATGCACACACTCACACAATACAATTGTATGTAAAAACCTGAATTTAAGGAGGAGGATGTGTTACATACACCATCATGTACAAGAGCCTTCCAGGAATGTTCCACCTTCTTAACAAATCTGAAAATACCAATTAAAAATTCAAAGCACATGTTAATCATCACCTGCTTAAAAACAGTAATCCCACACAATGCTGCATTCTACTCTTTTTCAGTGTTAAATTAAAATCAATTAATACATTTTATTTGATCATGAAATGATAAAAGGTAAGTACTCAAGCTAGAGGTGATAAAATAGAAAGATGGAAAACAGGCAAACAAATAAATCGAATAACAAAAGTTAAGTGTTTGTGATTCCATTTCTAAGAAAAGACAGGGCACAAACACAAATTTTTTTTACTTTAAGTTTTTTTATACCACAAATTTTAAAGATTATCCATTTATGAATGGGTTATAAATGATCATGGTCAAACGGAATTTTTCACTACAACTTAAAACTAAAACTGACTAAGGAAACAAATTCCTGTTTTCAGTATGTGTGTGTGTGTGTGTGTTTGGGGGTGCATGCATCACTGTCTGTGGGTGACACTGTGACCTCACCTGTAGGACTGAAGGATGTCAATGATTCCTAAAAAGATGAGCAGGTTCTCATCTTTGTGTTTGGCAGGAATTCCACCCAACCTGAAAAAAACAACAACATATCGACGTTACAATTTTTTAATAAAACAGTGTGATGGACTTAACATTATTTTATAATATATTTACTGTGCAAATTTTGGTAAACATAATTTAATTTGAGTACCGAGCTTCTATAACAATGCTCACTCATTGTTAGAGGCATTTAATTGTGCATTGTTAAATGAATGTTGTACTAATTTTGGTGAAACATTTAAAGCTGTAGCATGTAGAAAATGGCAGATTTTTTTCATGTATTTTCAAAGATTTAAAAAACTGCTACAGTGGAAAAACTGAGTCTAACATTTGGACCTGGTCAGACTGCTATGCTAAATTTCATGGCAGTCGGTTTTATTCATGTTAAAGGCGTTTTACCTATATAAAATACAAGTTCATATGTAAGTGTATAGGAAAGTGTGTAAACAGTCTTCATGTGACCGTAAACCTTTTGCACACTGAATAAAAACCTCTCTACTAATAATGTACTGTCAGGTAGCTGTAAGAAGAGCTGCCAAGCGGTGGTGAAATGGCTTGTTGAAAATTGAGAAGGAGTGTGTACAAAAAAAAAAAGGTCACTTTTTTTTCCCTCACGTCTCATCATCAGCCACCGATTCAGGTGCCTTCACATTCCCTTGGATGGACTCAAGGGCAGTGGAGTAAAGGACTTTCTGTCCTCTCCTGCTGTCACATCGACTTCCTCTGTGCAGTGGCTTCCTGTCCAAAACATGAATCCCCAGCAGAAGGCTGTAGTCCATGATCTTAAAGCTCTCCAGGACCTGATGAGATGCAGAAACGAAATATAAGTGACTAAATCAAAGTACAGAAACTGAAAAATCTTTTAAGAAATATATACAAGAAGACAAGAGCTAAAGTTGTTTTACAAGTCATGACAGGACAAACATGTTCCCCCTTCCTCCGTGTGAGAAATGCATCTTGAAATCTTGATTGATGAAACATTGTTTATGTATAAAGCCAGGAAAAATGTATTACCTGGTGGAATTCAAAAACTATTTAATGAAAGGGAAGGGGGATACAATATAAGGGGTCAGTTAAATTTAAAAATTCATGTTATACGTACAACCAAAAAAAGATTTTGCATTTCCATAAGTGGGGTAAAACTATGGAATAATTTAAGTGGGGACATAAAAAATAGTAATAGAATTGATGAGTTTAAACATAAATATAAAGGTATGTGTCAATCAAGATATATGCAAGAACAGGTTTAATGATTAATTAGGTGGAACATTGTGGGTGTGGTGTATGAATGTTAACACTCTGTAATAATTCTTTAATATATTACTTGTGTGGTGTAGAAGAGAATTATCTATGTAGAGATACTGCTTGCAAACCAATGATGGTAAGATGATGTCATGGGGTAGGACTGGATAAGTCTGACTTCTTCCTACTCCATTCAAGCATGTACTAGGTATAAGCAAATTGATATTGGATTAGCATTTGTTGGATATGTGTAAAATTATGTGTGTTGACATATCAACTGTCTTTACATGCTTGAAAGAATAAATCAAATCAAATCAAATCAATTGTATCCCTGCTGCCATAATCTCTTCTGAAATGATAAATTTTTACCTAGGCTGGTGACTAATAACACATTGTACAGCCATTCATGAAGTCCACTCACTTGCTGTGACTTCATGTTAGCATGGTAACACACTGAACGAAGATGGTGAACATGGTAGTGTACACATCGGCATTTTCATTATTAGCATATTGTTGTCAATATTTAGTTTATTGCTGTACCTAGAAACAACTTCACAGAGGTGTACTAGGCTGTAGAAGGTAAAACTAAAAGTCAGAAAACAACTATGTGACCACAACGTACTGCCTCTACTGTTGGTGTTGAGGTGGCCATCAGGTACTAAAATGGCCTGTTAGCAGCCTGGATGTGAAAGGGTTTTGTAGAGGTTTTGATTTCCACTGGCCTGGTACTTAACTGTACAGTGTCAATTGACCATTACAAATTAAAGTTAAATGTCACTTCTCATTCCATAAACTCATTCCAGGCATTGACCAGTTTGACAGATATGAGGGAAATGTTCTTGTGTTAAGGTTGACAGGGAGCATCCATTTGCACATTGTTTGTGGTGTGTCATGAATCTATACTAACTATACCATTAACTGAACACCGTGCTATTTTCTGGTCCTTGTAGTATTCCTGGTGTCATTCCCTATTAAACTTTACAAAAAAAACGTTCAACCTGGCCTTCTGGGACACAGCTTAGCCACCATGACCTTTGACCTCAAAAAAATGCAGAAATAATATGGCAGTGAAGGGTGACATTCATCATTATTTGAGTATCATATCACTTCCCAAAAAATGCAGAAATAATATCCATGTATGGCAGTGAAGGGTGACATTCAATCATTATTTGAGTATCATATCACTTCCTAGATATGTGTTACTCTTGTACCCAGAGATTTTAACGAATACCGGGAGTATGGTGGTCTCATAGGTAGAAGGTTCCTGGTTCAAGCCTGGCATCCACCCAGGGCTTTTGTGCAAAGTTTGTTAGAGCACATTACACCTAGATGGGCCAGTTTGTGTTCCAAAATCCACCTGCTCAGGCTGATTACATGAGTCAGGTGCTTTTGCTCTGCTGTATGTTAATCTTTCATCATGTTTCACACTCAGGCAATAACAGGCAGGCGCTGAGGTCATCATATCAGCACAGGCATGGCTCATATAAGAGGGCTGTCGAGGTTGCATAACTATTAAAGGGGAGGTGTTGCTTTAGGAAACATTTAAACCCACTCTGAGAGGTCTTTGTGCTGAACAAATAGGTTGATTATTTGATTGGATAAACAGCTAAACATAGTCACAGCAATTCTGGTAACAAATGTACTGCTTAGTTTCAGTGTCTCAACAGCTACTGTTAATAGATATGAGATCTTTATGTGAACACACCCGACAGTCCCGCTGCAGAGTCTTCATCAGAGCGTTGTAGGTGTCTGGGTCAAAGTACAGGCCCTCATGCATTTCCTGGAAGTCTAAGTCTTTGAATGTGGGTGAGAGCTTGGCACTCTCTTTGCGTGAGGCACGACGCTTGTACGAGGAACCCTTCAGGTCGTACTTATAGTGCATCTTCATAGCACGTGGCAACACATTGTTCATCACCACTACACGGATGGTGATGCCACCACACTGGATGCAGTAAAGACCGTAGAACTTGGGTAGCAACGTCCTTGGGTTCTGATTCAGATTCTGCGACATCAGAGACAAAAAGGATCTTTGTTTACAGTATAATGTTAGAGACATCTGAATCTCAGATGCTTATTATTAACATGGGCTATTAACTTGGTTTTAGATGTGCATTAGTCCATGAAAGTGATCAAATTGAAGGCCTGGCAAAACAACTTGTACAAATAACCCTAAAGGTCCAGGTTCCATATCTGAAAAGTAGCTTGTTTTTAAAATTCAAACATTTATCAAAAGACTCACTCCTACTAAGAGTATAGTGTACTCTAAGTGTAAGAGCAACTCTTAGTGACCACATGAATAATCACATGTATAGTACTGTGCACAAGTGTTAGGCCACCATTACGTTTGTTGTTTTAGCAACGTTATGACGGTATATATTCATTTATCAGAATGCAACTAGAAAATCTGGCAAATATGCACACATTATTAAAAACAAGTCATGAAAAAAGTCAGCAAACAAACTGGAAACTCAAGATGTTGTATTCAAGCTGTTCTAAAGAAATCTGAAGAATCTGGAGAGGTCGAGGACAAAAACAGGAGTAGAAGACCAAGAGAACTAGCAAAGTCTGATGAGAAGGTTCTCAAGAGTTTCTTTTGAGAGAGACCAGAGGAAATCCAACAAGGACCTGGCTCAGCATCTGGCATCTTCATCTGGATGCCAAGTTGATCCTTCCACAATCCGAAGAAGCTTGACCAGGAACAACCTTTGTGGAAGGGCAGCAGCCAAGAAACCAGTTTTTCAGAAGGGGACAAGCTGAGAGATGCACAAGCTCACAAAGACTGGAGTGAAGATCAGCGGAAAAGAGTCATATGGAGCGATGAATCAAAATCTGAAATGTGAGCAGAAGAGTTGGAGAGAGGTGGAAGAGTGTAGCAGCCTTCAGTGAAACATGGCTGAGGCTTTGTCATGGTTTCAAGACTGTCTCCCCAAAAGAATTCAAGCTGTGCTAAGTGCAAAGGGAGGTCACAGTAAATACTGACTTTGGACTGTAGAAGCTATTTTGCTCAGAACATTTTATTATTGTGCACATATTTCCTGTATTTTCTGGCTATATCTTAATAAAGAGACTGAGAAGTAAATATAGGTCATCATTACAACCTTGCTAAAACAGCTAAACTAATGGTGACCTAAGACCTTTGCACAGTACAGTATACTCAAAATAGAAATAGCCAGTCATGGGCCTTGTTTTTAAGTCCTTACATTTTCTTAATTGTATATTATTTTTCACAACCCAAATGTAAAATCTTACATGTAATAGCTTCCTGCTGCTAGTTTGAATCTAAACAAAACTTATAAGAAAACTCCAAAGAGCAATCCAAAATGCCCTTTTTATCAGTCTGATATATACAGTATGTGCTGTGGTGTGCACATAAATGTAGTTTGTGTGTGTGGGAACTGATCACCATGTAGTAACCAGGAAGCAGCTTCTGCAGGAACTCAGCCTCTTTATGCTGCACAGTCTTAATGATAAACTCGTCATCACTGGTGAGGTAAAACCACGAACTACTGGCACCGGGGTTGGACAACTCGATCAGAGGCTCCTTACAGATGGAGTACTGCAATTCAGAACAGAAGTCTCAGCATGACAAAGTTTTGCAAATTACTCAGTGGAAACTTCGTTCTCATTATGGTAAATCAGACTGATGACATTAGGTCAGTTCCATGCTAACCAGATAGTCATCTGGCTTGATGCCAAACAGCTCTCTGAAGTAACGAAAGGCCAGCGGTGCGTATGTCTTCAGACGGAAATCTGGGAAGTGATGAGCTGGAGTCAGGTTGCTGCCATCACTTGAGGACAAAGAAAATGGATTTGATTTATTACCGTCTGTGAAAAATATTAAAATACAAATACAATACATAAGAGTAGCTGTTGGCTACATGGTACAGGCATTTTTAATGGATGATATTCTGACACGTGGCAATTGGAAAAGCAATAAAATCGCAGATAATAAAATGAATGATGCTGAATTCCATCAAGCTGCTTCAGTTTCACAATATTGTTCATTGTGGCTTACTGGGAAAAAACAGAGCCATTGTTAATATTATTAGTTATGCCTGTGTTTTTCCTAAAGTAGGTCCAAATATCTACTATGTAAAATGACTATTGCTGCAATGTGTTGTTTTCAACCATCACACACCGCAAATATTCAGGTTGTACAATTCCAGAAGTGACTTACTTATTTTGCTTAATAGTAATATAAATCTATTTGCTGCCTCACTTCTATTTTTTTAGAGTGGGGTTTATTATTCTGAGGTGTGTGGACAATCAAGATCATCCCTCTGTAATGGGGTGCCTGCAAAAATCTCTGAAACAAATACAGCATCTCAAAACCTCACTATAAATAAAACTATCTGAATGGCAAGATACTGCCAGAGATAGGTGATAAAAACTGAACTGAGCCTTAAAATTAATTTATTTGAAACGCTCATTGAGTATGTGGCATGACCAGATGCCAAAAAATAAAAAGCTGTATTAAAGGAGTATGCACCTGGGCAGGAAGGCGCTCTCCACCACAGAGAAGTCCTGCATGAGAACATCTCTGTCTGGTTTGGAGCTCAGGTTTCCCACAGCGTACCCGATACCCAGCTGGATGGCTCCTTTCAGAGTGGACGCTGTGGGCTAATAGAGCATAATAGGGAAGAAAAAACATTTACAATGATTGTAATTAGTTAATTCATTAATAACAGATAATAGGTCATCAGAAATGCAAAATGGAGGCCCTTAAAACAAAATGTTTTTATGGTGAATCTAGAACAACTATATAACAGAGAAGTGCTTCAGTACAGATACACCGAGCCATTTTCATGACAATGTGACAAACCTAATATAGCCATAATAATTACACAACAACAAAATCTTTCAAGAAAAATAAAACTTGACATTTTAATCAAACTTAGTGGCACACGTTCTTCCAAGAAAATAAGCTGAGGTGACATCTCTCTGTGAACCATAAAATGGAAACTGAACAGCCTAACTGCCTTGTTTGCCACCACTCTGCTCCCTCCATTACCAAACAGCTGTTAGACAACAGCTGACCAAAACTACAAGAACAAAAACATTTAGCTAAAGTCATGAAGTTTTACTTAAATTGAAATGTTACATCATTATATTAATTTTTACAAAACTTTGTAACCCATGGGTCCATGGAACTTTATCTTAAATAACAAATTTAAAGCTCATCCTGACCAACAGAAAGGTTTCACTCATAACAACTCTGACAAGTTTCCTTAATATTTGTAATTGTTTTTCATTCCCTTCCTTTAAACTGTAACATTTTACATTTATGGGGGTGACGTTCTTGCAAGCAAAAGATGTTTGAGACCTTTCCTTACCTGAAAACAACTGGATGTGCAGTAATGATTTCCTCTTACCCTTTTAGGATCCTTTGATGCTTTAGAGGTTTTGGTTCCTCTTCCTACACTGTCAGTTGACATCTTTTGGACAGAGAGAACTTGATTAGAAGGAAGCTCTGCCGTCGTTCCTCCAACACCTGAGTTCCGTGTTTCCCCTCAGTGATGAACAACTTCAATCGGCTTTACCGAAACTACATTTTCCAGATACGCTGCTCCTGCAGGTGAGGTAGAAAAAAAGAGGAATTACATGCTGAATTTCCATGCATGTCAATGCAAAGCACACACAAGTTGGTGAAAATCTGCACAACTATGATGGACTACTTAAAGCAATTTCCTCCACTCACAGCGACTTTAACAGTTTGTCTATTTCAGTTGTTGATATCTCTTACAGAGTCTAACAATGTGCATACCTTCCTGCCTGGTGTTCTTCTAAGTACTGAGGGACTGACAATATTTGTGTGAGTCTTTAACTCCAGAATCCCACACAACAACCCTTGATCCCAATTAAGAAGGTTTGGGAAATGATTAACCGCTGTTTCATAAGCGTAGGCCATGCAAAGGATAGGGTTTTATTCACTTGCATATATGACCCTCAACTCACTAATACTGTAGAAAAAGGTGTTGATCAAAACATTACCAACAAAACAAATATCATCACAATATAAATGACCATATATTTAATCTCTGCCAAATATGCATATAAATTCATATGAAGTGTACTTTGATTGAATCAGCAACATCTGCATTTTTTCACTAAGTACATTTAATCATAACTCTGCTACAGTGACAGGTTGTAATTTGCCACATTTGTCAGCTATAAAAGGTTTGGCAATCAGCAATTTGATAATACAAAGACTCTACAGCAGCAAATATCAGTGCTCGCAATGCTGGTGGACTGGTCATAAAACTGTTAAATTACTTATTGTATCAATCAGATATATTAAAATTATGTCTGCAAAGGAACAGCACAGTTCAAACTTGAAGGGATATATTACATTTTTGCAGTCTATAAATAATTAAATAAGATACTAGCGATTACTCTGCCGTATGTGGACTGTAGGCCTATTATATGTTAGATATGTATAGTTTAGTATACACTGTAGCCTACCCAGGTAACCAAAATATTCTTGCCCAGCAGCAGAGTAAATCTTCTTGCTGCAACTTATGATGAGTGATGGAGCTCAGGGACTGACTGTCCCAAAGCTACTTTGATTTTTTTAAATCCACAGTTTGAAGCCCAACAAACCCTGGCAAGCCATATATGAAACAGGGCCTCCTCACATTTGCTCCTCTGGTGTTAGAAAACTGTCAGCACTCTATGGCAATCGACCCAATTTACCTGGGTATCATGTAAAGTGGTCAGAGTGCTCGCTATGTGCCAGTGATGCAAACATTAGTGTATAACACATTACCAGTAACAACATTTCATTGTGTGTTGCATGTGAGCCTGTGTGGGCTAATCTAGCACATATCCTAAGAAACAAGCCCTTGTTTATTTTAAGCACTACCTCAGGATGTGGTTTTGGGGTCTGACTTGCAAAGAATGAAACTGTTTTATAAGGGTCATGATGAGAAAGCTTGTTTTTCAAGCACCTGCTGTTCTCATCTTAATTGCATATTTGAAGAAGAGACTGAGGAGATCAAGAAACCTGCTAAAGATGATTCTTTTCATTTAAAGACTTAGTGATAGGAGTAGTCTATGATGTTAATTATGTGTAAACAGAGTCTTTCGGGTTTCCTGTGCAGCATTTCACATATTGGAAAACAGCTGGGTGACATAACAGCATTAACAGCATGGGTCCAAACATGTTGGATTAAGCATTTGTAAGTGCATTAGTTTGCAATCTGCATAGTCAGAGAGATTAGTTACATTGCTTTTCCATTCATAACAATGACAAAAATAAATTCTTAGTCTACTTACTGATCAGTAACACTAATAATAAACCAGACTGCTAATTAATAGTAAAACACACCGTCCTGTCTTTTTGAGCACACAGACTGACATAATGCATTCCCTATCCCCTTACCCTAACCATAACCATGTGAAATAAATGGCTAACCTTTATCCTAAACCTCCTAAGCCTAAATCTAACCTGAACCCTAAAACCAAGTCTTAAAACTCAAAAAATGTTTCAGAAAATGAGCACTGGCCAAAATGGCCTCACTTTCCACAAGTGTCCTCACTCTGTAGCAAAACAAACAAACAAACAAAGAAAAACCTTTTTGGTCCTCCCTGTGTAGCAAGTATAAGAAGACACACAATTAACTACAAATATGAAGCAGGCTGTGTTCCGTAAACTAAGGGACCAGAGGGTTAAAGATTCAGTTCCCACTGTGCACATCTGTTATAAATGCAGATTGGTGACATGCATTCATAACAATGCACCAGATTTTTGTTTACAAAAGAGAACCTGTGTGTAGGAACTTTGGACATAAAAGCCAGTGTCACAGAAATGAGTACTTCCTAATGTGAAGTATCAAGTCAGCAGCATACATAATCTGAGAACCATGAATGTTTATACAAAATGAGTTTCCAATCTGTCTGTTCAACAAGACATTTCCCAGGATATGTAAATACTTTGACCTGCTGGGCTGCCAAAGCCATTCATTCTCTAAGCACCAGAGCAACCCATCCGATATTTTTGAGCCATTTCAGTCTGCAAAAAAAGTGATGACACACCAGTGTCACAGTCCCTACCATTAGCACGGTGGTCCAGCGTGTTACATTTGATTTGCATTGGCATCAGAAAGTACTCAGACACCTTCACTTTTTGCCCTTTTTATTGTGCTGGCCATTTCTAAATAGATAGAAACAGCTATTTCTGCCCAAAAGACAAAGTGAAAGCATCATTGTAGATGTTTTTGTAAACAAATTTGAATTCTACTTTGTATAAACCCCTCTGGCAGCAAGTACGGCTTTCAGGTATCTTGGGTAAGTCTCTACAGGCTTTAAACACCAGGATCTGATCCCAGATCATCTCAAGCTTTGTCAGATTCGATGGCTGTATACTGATGTTCCATAGGGTTTAATTGTGGGCTTTGGCTGAGTTACTCTGGAGGCTTTCGTCAAGAACCTCTGTATTTGGCTGTATGCGCCCTGCTCTCACTTTTGACTCGTCTCTCTGCTGGTGCTAAGACCCCCATTAGCATGATGGTGCCACCATGCTTCACCACATGGGACAGACATAGTGCTTGGAGTTCTGCCCAAATAGCTCAGCTTTGTCTTACCAGGCCAGAGATTCCTTTTAATGCTGTTTAGCAAACTCTATAAGCGGGATGTCACATCTTCTACTCAGAAGTGGCTGATTATTTCTGCAAATGACAGATTTCAGTTCTTAAAACATATTTTTTATTTGTCATTATGGGTTATTGAGAGTAAATTGCAGTTTTATCTATGTATGTAAGATTAAATCTACAACACAATAACATGCAAAAAGTGAACTGGGTTTAAAAACTTTGTGGAGCCACTGTATGTTTTTAAATACAAACTTATCAATTAGTAACAATTCCAATAGAATGAACACTGAATTGTATTTAAATGTTGAGGGTATTTTATATAGTCTGAGTTTTTTTAAATAGCAATAATATGGTCCACCCTCAATGAAGTGTCTTTCATGCACTTAATATTACAGCAATACTCAATTACTGAACAGATAAAAATAGGTATTTGGACAACAGCAGCACAAACTACAGCCTCCAAACTGACCATTCAGTTGAATAAACACCTCTCTAACAGTCAGAGCCAAAACTGAACAATATCACTTTTGTGTATGAGGATTTACAGCAAAGCTGCTATATTAGACTGACTTGGTTGCAGCTAGGTGTACTTAGTACATACTGTTCATATGTATTTCAGGCTCAGATGAGCTCAGGTAAATATTTAAACTTGCACACTCTCACGCTACATGGACAATGCAGCTCTTTTGAATACATGGAAATTATGAGCACCCCTTCCAGCTTATTGCCGACATTTTAGTTTCAGTCTGACTGAACTGAAGGTAAGATGGGCTAATCTTCTCTAGTGATACCATCATCACTCTTCCTGAGCGTCAACAGGCCTATATACTGGGGGCGGCTGTGACTCAGGAGGCAGAGCGGGTCGTTTCCTAACCGGAGGGTTAGCGGTTCGATTCCCGGCTTGTCCAGTCAACATGTCGAGGTGTCTTTGAGCAAGACCCTGTACCCCCAGTTGCTCCCGGTCATGTCACCGGTGTGTGAATGCGTGAGTGCTTGGGAGTGCGAATGGGTGAATGGCTGAATAATGTGAAAGCGCTTTGAGTGTGCTGTAAAAGCATAGAAAGGCGCTACTTATACAGAATCAGGAATGAAAGACGGCTCCGTTCTCTCTTTGTAATAAAATTGAAAGGAAGAACAACAGAATTTATTGAGGAGAAATAAACACTGTCCACCTTCTTACCTTAACAGGCATGGTCATATGTAGATGGTGAATACAGGTCAGTGAAGCACAGATAACAGACCGTTGTTGTCTGATATAAAATGACTAAGTGACTGTTGTGAGATGAGTAGCAAAGTGCTGCAGCCACCATAGAGCATCCTCACCACTTCCTCTCCCTCCCTCGCTGTGTTTCTGTCTCCGCCCACCTGTTGTATTATTCCACAGTGCCTTCATAAGTCAGACTGAGCTGTACCACTGGACTCAACAATGATATTGAATTTTATGAAATGTTTCACCACTTCCTCATCATCATCATCATTTCCCAACATTTTCTTTCAGTTCACTTTTGTTTATCTTAAACATAGCATATCATTAGTTCAGGCTTCACTTGCAGGAGCTGATTGGCATCAGCTGTTCCACTCATGCTTCATCATTCACAACATGTGTGTCTATCAGCTAACTGTAGGTCTTTGGTTCTTTTTACCATGCTAACTCTGAGAGACAAGACAGTCCAAGTAACTTCAAAACAGTGCTGATTTATTCAAAGGATCACAGGTAAAATTAACATTACACGCTCAG